ACCCTCCCTGGGCTACCTGTCCAGGGCTCAGTCACTGCACGGGACAGAAGCTCTTCCTCATGTTCAGGTGCAGYTTCCTGGGCTCAGCTCCTGCCCGTTCCTCCCGTGCCATTGCTGAGCCCCAGGGAACAGCCCGGACCCTGCTCAGAGCCCTCCCTGCACCCAGGGACACGCAGGGCTGAGGGCCCCTCTCAGCTGGGGCTCCTCTCCAGGCTGAACAGCCCCAGCTCCCTCAGCCTTTTCTCATCAGGAAGATGCTCCAATTCCATCATCTCTGCAGCCTCTGGTGGCCCYGCTCCAAGAGGTTTGTGTTTCTCCTGTGCTGAGGAGCCCAGAGCTGGACACTGCATTCCAGATGTGCCTTCCAGGGCTGAGGAGAGGGGCAGGATCCCCTCTGTGACCTGCTGGCAATGCTCTTCCCAGTGCTTTCCAGGATCCCAGTGGCCACCTTGGCCACAAGGACACACTGCTGGCTCCTGGAGGGTTTCTTGTCCATCGGGACCCCCAGGTCCTTCTCCACAAAGCCACTGTCCCCAGTCTGTGCAGGTGCCTGGGGCTGTTCCACCCCAGGTGCAGGACCCTGCACTGGCCCTTGCTGAACTTCAGAAGGTTCCTCTCTGCCCATCTCTCCAGCCTGCCAAGGTCCCTCTGAGGGGCTGCACAGGGAACGTGCTGGGGAGGCATCGACCCCTCATGCAAGTAATGGATGAGCAATGAACAATAGGCCCAGGAGCGAATCCTGGGGATAGCACTGATGACAGGTTTCTAACAGGACCCTGTGCCACTGATTGCAACCCTCTGGCTTCTGCTGATTAGCCAGTTCTCAGTCCATCTCCTCCAGCCCCCACTGCCTGAGTTTCCCCAGGAGGGGGACAGTGTCAAAAGCCTTCCTGAAATCCAGGTAGACAAAATCCAGTGCTCTCCCTTCATCCACCCAGGTAGTTGCTTCATTGTAGAAGGCAATCAGGTTGGTCAGGCATGATTTACCTTTAGTGACTAATTGTCCTTCTTGTCCATCCCTGTGGGTGGAGATGGCCTGGAGATGWGCTTCATCACCTTTCCAGGGATTGAGGTCAGCCTGACAGGCTGGTGGTTCCCTGGGTCCTCTTCCATGCCCTTTTTGAAGACCAGAATGGCATTTGCTTTATTCCAGGCCCCAGGCATCTCTCCTGTCTCCATGACCTTTCAAAGGTAAATGGAGAGTGGCCTTGSTCTGGTGTCCACAGGCTCGTTCAGCACTCGTGGACATATCCTGTCAGGGTCTACGGACTTTCTGATGTCAGGTTTTCCCAGGTATTCACTAACTCAGTCCTCCTKGAAAGGAAAGTCTTGCCAAGGGAAAGTCTTCCTTCCAACATTCATTTAACCTGGTCTCCTGGGCCAGAGGTCCCTGAGGGCTGGTCTTGTTCRGTACAGACCTTTGCAAAGAAAGGCACTCAGGAGCTGCCTTCTCTGCATCCTCTGTTACCAGGATCTCCCCTCCATTTAGGAACAGACTCACATGATTGTGGATTTTCGTTTTGTTATTAATGTATTTWAAAAAAGCCCTTGTTGTCCTTTACATCCTTGCCCAGATTAAATTCCAGGTGGGCTTTGGCCTTCCTTGTCTCATTCCTACTTAGTCCAGCAGTCTCTCTGTATTCATTTCGAATGGTCTGAGCCTGCTTCCATCCCATGTGTACTTTTTGCTTGCACTTGAGGAATGACAGGAGTTCTCTGCTTATCCACACAGGTCTCTTACCCCCTTWGCCTGATTTCTTGCTCACTAGGATGCATTGTTGTTGAGCCTGGAGGAAGTGATCTTGAATATCAACCTGAACCCCTTTACCCTGCAGGACCTGTTCCCATGTGCTTCTTTTAGGAAGATCCCTGGAGAGGTTAAAGTTAGCTCTCCTGAGGTCCATG